GCACTGCTTTCATATGAGTGCATGTAGAGCCCGCCACCATACAGCCAATCAGCAGTGCGTTTCCTAAAAGCTACTATGGTCGCACGTTCTGTCGTTACCAAAATAGTTCAGCGATTTGGTGTTTCCTGAATCCAGAGTTACAACAAACATTCACAAACAGCATCACATACAGTAGTTGTGTGACCTGTGGTAAGAAGCAGAGTTTCTTATTAGAATGACGTGGAATTAAATAGATCATGCACTTAAGCAAAATAAGCAGGTTAATGTAGTGCCTTGCATATACAAGTTTCATATGAGTGAAGGGAAGGGAGTGCGTATGTGCTCTAGTACCACAAAATAACAGGGAACAAAACTAGCAGTCCTCGATGCCATGTTCATTATGTACAGCAATAATCTGACATTAATTTAATCTCGAGCTGATTACTTAGCGGAAGTTGCCTGTTTGACGTCATTAATGACAGATCACGGTGGGTCGAATGACGGAGGAGTGGCGAAGTTCCTACGTTTTCGGGAAACAGTCATGACTCGCTAGTTAGTTTCTTCAACAATGCATCATACTATGGTTAAGCAGCGAGTTACATTGTTGTCGGGAATTGCGTCCTGGGACATCTTCTTGCATTCGTAGACCAATCGAAATGAATTGGAGAAAACCTACGATTTCTATGAACAAAATTGGTGTGTTGATGCTGCTCAGGATGCTTGTGATCCCCACCTGTCGTGTCCGTACGGGACGTGATCGGGAACACGCTGAAGTCCATCCGAGGAAAACTATCCAGAGAGAGCGACAGCGAGGATGAGTCTGTGCCGCAGTGCTATTGATTTATTTTAATTAGCAGCTCGTTAAATCGTGCCAGTTTGCAAAACAAACATATAAGTCTGAGTCTGGTTTTCCACCAGGGTTTTAATGAGTTCTGCACCCCAGAACCCAGAGCACAGAGACAGACAGAAACCTCCTCGAGAGCTGCGCTTCCTCCCTCGAGCCCTCTCTGTTTTCTCTGTTTATTTCATTATCTGTTTATTTGTTTTTGAGCCTCATTAAAGAGTGACTTCATTAGTTTTGGTTGGTTGGGTCTGTTTTTCTGGCAGGACGGGATGTTTTTACTGACGAGCAGATGCGGGGTGAGGCGGGTGCGCTGGGTTTGAATTCTCGCAGCTTCAGAGGCTCGTGAATGTCCCGTCAAACCAGTGACCCTGTTCCCGATTGGCCAGGCTCTCGTCTCACCCTCCCGGTGTGATTGGCCGGGGCCGGGTGAGCGCGGTTTGGTTTGGGGTTTTCAGGAAAGGAATGCTGACGACAGGGCCGTTACCATGTGTGGCAGCAGGGCTGCGCGGCACAGCTCACACACACACACACACACGCACACTGACACACACTCACACACACACACACAACACACTCTCTCATACACACACACACACACACACACACACACACACTGATCATGTGACTCCTGCTCTTTGTCAGGAATTCCACGATCGGCCGGTGAGACTCGCTCCTCTCACGAGAGTTTGGCTGCTGAAGTGAGGATTGTGGATGTTGATGCAGCTTCATGCTAGAGCGAGGTCAAGTGGCCTCCTGCAGTTCTGAGACCATAACTCACATCCGCAGCGAGTCCATGTGTGTTTGCACTGTCTGATTACACGTGCTTTATGAAACCAGGAGACAAGAAAACTTGCACCAACAGGGTACAAAAAAGGGCAATAAAAAAGGAATTTTTCCTTTTTTTACAATGTTTAATTTTACTTTTGTTGCAATACTTTTAGCAGAATTTGAGCTAAGTACAGTTATACAACACAAACACACACACACATATATATATATATATATAAATGATAAATTTACAAAAAATAAGTAAAAGGGTCACAAGGAACAGGGTTGAATATGTAGCCTAAATAGAGCTGTTATTCATTATGTAGTAAAAAATGCTGGTTTGATGCATTTTTATTTCTCGCAGATTGAAAAAAAAATAAAATAAAATAAATATATATATATTTACATTTACATTTACATTTAGTCATTTAGCAGACGCTTTTATCCAAAGCGACTTACAATTGGGGGATACATAAAGCGATTCTTCTTAAAGAGGCAAACAGACA